TAGCCATTTAGTCCTGGCAACTGCTTCCTATCTTTCCAGATGATTCCAGCCAGCTCTTTTTGTGTTTAGCCTATTGTCGAGTGCCGTCACAAAGACTTGGGGTATTAATCCTGTCATCCGTTCAGTGTTTGGAACTGCTGAGTGGGCTGCACAGTGAATGAGAAGCTGTAGGTGCTAGGAAAAGGGGGAATGGTGTGTAGGTGTGTTTGGAGCACATTCAGAATCTGTGCTTTTCCCTGCACTGTTTGAATGTGACAGTTTCCTTCTGTGTCTTCAGCAGTCCCCAGTAAGGCAAATGCAGCAGTGCAAAGGTCTGATGGTGATGGGAAGGCAGGGGGAACATGAAACAGGCTGGAGTGATGGAGGGGCATAGCCCCTTCCCTGCACACATGTGTGGTTGCCTGTGTGCTGTTGCTTCGCTGAAGAAGGCTCTGAAGGAGTCACATGTCTTGCTCAGAGCAAACAGAGTTCTAGATTCAGCACTCTAGGTTTGAGGCCAGAATATAATATAATGACTAAACCAACATGACAGCTCCCAAGGTCAAGGTTGTTGAATATATAAGGTTTCAGCTTTGAGTCTTGCAGGCTGAGTCCATCTCTAGTGAGCAGAATGTGACCACCACAAAGGAGCTGGCACTTCTTGGATGCTGGCTGCATGTTGCACTTCCTTCTGCAGCAGATCTGGATTAACAGCATCTGTGAAACCCAAACCCCCTATCCTGCAGACTGGCTCTCACTAGAGCTGCAGTTCTGCACCCTGCTGCTTTGCCAGCAAATTTAGCTTGAGAACTTTGTACTCTGAATGACTTTTGTCTGCCCCCATACTGTGATTATTAAGTAGTCTGTGTGATTGCCCTTTAAACTGGATCCATGATATGGTACAAGGAGGAAAAGCTATTTCCCTCAAACCCACCCACCCCCTGCCAAAGTATTTGTTTTTAAAGATAATGATTTCACAGATCTAATTTGGAATCAGCACAGCTGAGGAGGCCATAATGAGTGTAAATTGGGTGATAGGAACTTCTGAAACCAGAGCAGCTGCCAAAGGCATCTTAGCATGGAGCTTCTGCTGCAACGAGAGACAGCTTGGCAGGCAAGGATCTGCAGCCAAATAGCTGACTCCAGGCTTGTGGTTTCCCACCTGGGTGCTCAAATCAGCACTCCTTAGGCCGTGCAGCCTTTAGATGCCTCCGTGCTGAGGAGAGCACCCAGGGGCAGGGGAGGTTTTTGAATGTGAGTAGTCAGGAGGAATAAGCCGTTGTACATTGCACATCTCAAAAGCTTGTATTGTATTTTAGAGGGCTCAGGAGGATGGAGAGGGAGAGTTTTGTTGCTGGCATATACAGATGTGTTTCCAGCCAGACACTGAGCATTAGCAGTGCAGAGAAAACTATGTGCTTGGGCTTTCAGTGGGAAACAACAACAAAAAAACCCTTTCCGTTTCTTTCATCTGGTAAGTGATGCCAGGAGCTGCTGTTCTAGAGAATAAGAAGTCTGGATTTATAAACATGCCTATGAGATGCACCTTTGAACGTGCGTTAAGGAAATCTACGTGGGGAAAATGCATAGCATAGAAAGTAGGTCTTACTGCTGTCACTGTTCAGTGGAAGCCAAGTGTGTTGTGGCAATCTCTGTGTGATTCTTAATAAAACCCCAGCAAAACCAATGAAAAGGAGATCTGTTTGTGTACAAATACACCTGTTTCTTCTGATTTCCTAGTGCCCGTTACAGCATGTGCCAAATTTTCTGGAGTGCCAGAAGGAAAGGAGCATCTCCAGAAAATGCTGAGGTTACAACACCCAGATAAAACCTGCCAGTGCTACCTTTATAAAGACACAGTCAGTTCAGCCTTGGGAAGAGCAGCTGCACTGGAGAGCTTGAGGTGGTTGCCAAACTTCTTTCACTTTTTTTATATGATTTGCCAAATCCTTAGCTAGCTGGAGGGTGAATATTCAGACAGGCAGCAGCATTGAAAGCTGAGCAGTGAAAAGTTCTGCTTGGGCAGGAGAGAATGAATGTGATTTTTTTGCAGTGACTGCCCTTAGATATCTGAAAACACTGGCTTGAGCTGGAAGGAAGGGCACCTCTGAAAGGATGCTACTGTCCCTGGGGTGGGGAGCTGGAATAGCGTCCAGTGAGCCACAAACGCAAAGCTGATGGGTTTGGTTTTGTTGTTTATTAAAGACAGGCCTTTGTACAGCAGTAATGGAAAATCCTATTTCTGTACCAATAAAAGCTTTGCTCCCGTGGTTGTTGTTATTGGCAAACTTGGTCACTTTGGTGTTTATGGAAAAGTATTTACTGTGAAGGACTGGATGGTTAACAAGCTTCATCTGCTTTCATTTTGCTTTGATGGCATGCATGTTGCTGTGGGAACATCTTATTCATCGCTGTCCCCCATCAGCAGTCCATCCCACTAGGCTTCTACCTCTCTTCTGCAGCATGAATAGCTGATGCTCCTGCTGTTTGCTGTAGTAAGGTAGAGCATTGCTTGGGTCTGGTTTGGACTCTTTTTCTGTCCTGGGGGGCATTGGCTTTGTGTCAGTTCCTACTTTACCACACAGGAGGCTGAAACAATGCAGTGTGTGTTTTGTAACAGGCTAGACCTAGTTGGCATGTGGGGTATCAGCCAGCTGACAATAACTCAAGTGCTGCAGAAGGATTAAAAGAAGCTTCTCTAATAAATGCAATTACACAAACATGCTTGAGCCATGTGTCCTGTTTAATTCCTTCCCAAGAAAACAGGCATTCCTCAGGGCACTGCTTTTGTCTGAGTGAAAGAGATAGCCAAGTGCCTCAGGCATCCTCCCTGAATCCAGAGTGCCTGTTCTGTGCCCTGGGTGGCAACCAATTGCTGAGCTTCAGATTCCTCTGAAGAATAGTTGTTCCTCCAGGAGTGAGTCAAGTTTTTTGCCAGGCAGTGACTTTATAGCTGGCAGAACCCTTGCTGCCATTCAGACCTCACAGGCAGCTTTCACTGCTGGCTGTGGCTCCCTGCCTGCACCCCCCTTGCTATTGCGTTTGCCAGAGGTGCCTCTGCTATGTGGTAGGGAGCTTTTTGCATATGTTCTTGCAATTTGGGATCTTCCAGTGGGCCTTTGCCACTTCTGGATTGTACCTAGACACCAAGAAGGGCACCAGGGTAAATGCTGTGACAGGCTGTACTTGCTCTGCTGTCAGGGCAGGTTTAAGTCACACCTTTAATGTGTTCTGTTCTCTCCTGCTGGTGAGTGAATTTTCCATCTCTGCCTTTCACACGAACATTGCTTATGGTGGAGAGAACGTCTTACAAGCTGTAAGCCCAGGCAGCACCCAAGAAGTGCTTGCTGGAGCTAATGGGTTGGTGCCCCAGCTTTAGGCATTAGAACCGTTATCTGGAAACACGCAGCAGCCTTCTCAGTGTGAAGGAAGCAGCTGATGAATGCAGACGTATGTGGACATAAGAACTGGGGTCCAGATTATCCACAGGCTTGCTGGCTCCCAGGCATGACTTTGACTTTGAGGCTATGTAGGGGTGAATCCGTAGGGCTGACAGAATGAGATGGCTTGGGAAGGGCAGGGACACCACAGATACTGCTTCGTGTGATGTGGGAAGAGCACATTTGTGTTGCCCCAGGTTTAGGTTGCCCTTAACTAAATAGATGATTAGTCTTAGTGGTCCAGGGAGGGAAAGGTAAAACCTTGAATGTTTATCTAGTCTCTCAAAACTCTGACTCCCTGCTTTTAAGAGTGTTTAGTCTGAAATCATCACTCATGTGTAGAAGCAGAGGTTTTAAGAAAATCGTTAAATATTGCAAGGTTTCTGGTAAGATGCAAGGTAAATGGTGAAGTGGTCCAGAAGAGCTGCTCTTTGACTTTCCCAGCTCCTTGCATACATGCGCTGAGGTGTCTCGTAATCTTGTATACAGCGAGCAACTGTGCTCTTGCTCAGAAGCACCAAGTGTTTCATTCAGTGCATGCTTGTCAGAGCACATAAAAAGTGCAGGTAGCACTTGCTATGTGTGAGCCAGCTCTTGTAAGCAAGGCACCGTGATGGGGTAATGTTACAGATATGACACAGTGGAGCCTTCTGGCTCTTGGAAGTGTCTTGCCAGGCTGGCGTTTCCCTGCTCCCTTTGAAGCACTGCCTTTTCATGGTGATGCTATAAGATCCTGAGGAAACGTGAGGCAAAGACGATGTGCCATGACTCATAATTATCCGGTGTGGTTGTGTTGCTGTGCCATTCTCTGTTGTCCATGTTCATCTCTATGCAATTGTATCTCATTGTGTGTTTGGATCCACTCCTGAAGATCTCCCTGGCATCAGTGGGAATATGAAGGGCTTGCAGGCACCTCAGCAAGGTTAAGGTCTTTTGTAAAATCACTAGAGTAGAGGTTGTGTTTGCACAGCACCTTGCACAAATAGGTCACAATCTCTCAGTTTGGTTCAGCATCCATCTGTGCAGTCTTCCTAAGGGGAGTTCACGTGCTGTCATATGAAGCAGCAGTGTTTCCAAACTGTGGCAGTGCAGTGGGAAGCCTCTGCGAGAACCTTGGTTTAACAAAGAGATCCAAATCAGTATTTGGGAGCAAGGCTGTGCTAGGGAGAGGTGAGGCAGTAGTGTGAAATTCATAAGCAGAACTGAACAGGTGATAACAGACACTGCTGGGATATAAGAGAAAAAATGGCTTAATTCTTGAAAGGTACATTGGAAATGCTGGTAGTACCAGCTGAAGTTCCCACTGGGCTGCCAGCATGCCTTGTGAAATAGGCAGGCATTAGAATTGAAGGCAGATGCTCCCTTCCTGACTGCAGGACAAGACCTCTGTTCATCAGTGCTCATCTCCTCCTGACACTTTGCTTTGTGCTTTTTCCATCTCGAAGACTCTAACAATGTGTGTTTCTCAGGCCCTGGCTAACAGTTGCTACAACTACCATTAATGCAGCCCCTTAGGGCAGGTCCTGGTTTAGCTTTTCTTCCATCAATCAGCCAACTGAATTTTGTTTTCTTGCCTTTCAGTCCTTTCAAGGAAGCCAAGGACGAGCATACCTCTTCAATTCAGTGTGAGTAGAACTTTGTACGTGTCACCTCTACGCCTCTAAGGATAGATTTAAGAAAACCCTTGTGAAGAAGAAAACAAAAGGATAGTCTTCCTCTAGAAAACCCCTGCCTAAGCCTTGGGAGCTTGCTGAAAATGGTTGGAGAAAGAGGCAGGAAATAACACTGATTCATATTTGATTTCATGTTGAGGTTTCAGATAAGCAGCTAGGAAAAGGTGGTTTTGTCATCATCAGGTTGAGAAATAAGAGCTAATGCATGAGTCATTCTCTTCTCAGAGAATGTAGTTGGGCAGAATAAATGTAGAGAATAAATTGTATCTAAATCTGAACTTACTTTTTAGAGCTAGCATAAAGACCAAGTGTAATTTTCCCAATAACTGAAAATAGTTTTGATGAGATCACTGTTGGGATGCCTTTGAGAAGAACTGCTGATTTCAGTTACAGTTTTCAATTTTCCATTTGGGAAAGTAAAAGTACCATTTTCTCAATTTGAAAATGAAAATCTTTCCCAAATGCGTAATTAGTGCAATTTACTAGAATGTTATTAATGTTCTCTTCAAAGCTTTATAGAACTTTCAGATGAATAAAAGATTCATTTCACCGTTTTCATTCTATTCTGAAAATGCAAAAGATCTTCATTTTGGTAGTCGGTATCCTGAACCTCCTGCCTGTGTTTTCAAATACTGCATTAAAATTGCTGTCAACTTCAGTGCAGCATTTTGATGTGCAAAGACACACTAATAGGGATCATCTCCCCTTCTTCCACAGAGTTAACGTGGGTTGTGGCCCTGCAGAGGAGCGGGTGTTACTAACGGGATTACATGCGGTTGCAGATATTTACTGTGAAAACTGCAAAACCACACTGGGTTGGAAATATGTGAGTATCACTATAATTTTTCCTGTGGACATCTTTGTTCCAGCCCTTTCTGAAGGTGTGTGTCTGGTAACGTGGTCCCACGGAAAGACCATTAACTTGGGAACCAGAAATGCAGGTTCTGGGCTGTAGCCCCATCTTTTTTCCTTCCTGTACTTCTTTTCTCTACTGTCTTGTGTTTGTTGCATTCATTCAGAGCAGGAGCTCTTTGTGGCTAATGTATGTTTCTTACTAAGAATATACACTGTGGGCCCTTGTTGTGGTGGGTGTCCCTTAGTGATACTTAATATAAATGTGAGGATAACATCAGTCAGCCATGTGGTTCATCTTGTCTTTTTTCCCAGACAATACCAGAATAATAGAATGATCCATATATTGTTAATCCTCTGTCCTTCCCACTGGAAATGTTGGTCATGAGTTTATTGAACATGAGCTTGTTTATTTGCTGTCTCTTGCTCTTCATAAATTTGGTTACCTTCAGATAAAGGCTTATGCTACAGTCTAATTTCTGCTTCAGGAGGCACACAGCAAACTTGTTTGTCAAGACATTTTGACCAGTGTCTAAACAAAGCATAGACAGAAATATTCTTTATTCTATCTGGCCTCTGTACAGAAATACTCTTTAATAAATCAATTGAAAGGCTATAAAAAGTAAAGCATCAATAATTGATGCGGTAGGAATCCATGCAGAACCACAGCATGGATCTCACAAATGGAAAAGGACACTAAGTACAAAACTGAGGTTACTGTAAAACAAAACACAAAATGTGAATATAGCAGTAAGCCCAAGCCTCCAGTGGCTTTTTCCAGGTGCATTACAGAACACCTGAGCAGAGCTGAACTGCTTTTGAGGACGCAGCCTCAGTAATGGGAGTCCCTCCTGGCTGGAGATCCCACAGATTTTCTCTCTTCTGCAGTTCTGCAGTGGTGAAGCATTGTGTGTCCCTGCGAGCATGCATCTCTGTAGGGGGAGTCCTTGTGGCTTGGTGCCCGATTGCTCCATTTCCACACGAAGTTTCCACCTGGAGTTTTTCACCTCAGAGAGGGGTGGGTTTTGTCACTGATGATTCCTAAATCATAGTTCAAGGAGCAGTGGGCATTGGCCTACAGGAGGCTGCACATTTACGTGGTGCTGATTGTTCCTTTGTCCAGCCTGTAAAGATGCCTAGAAGCAGGATTTAAGATCCTTCCAGCCTACTTTTCCTGAAAGCCAACAGGAGGACCTGCAGTTTGAGCATTTTACACTGTAAACAAGGCTAAGACTTGTACCAGCATTCCTGGATCTGATCTGTAACTGTGCATTTACCTTCAGATATCATCTTGATCTCATTCTTTCTCCTTTTGTTTTTAGGAACACGCTTTTGAAAGCAGCCAGAAGTATAAAGAAGGCAAATACATCATTGAACTAGCTCACATGATCAAGGATAATGGCTGGGATTGAATGGGAAGAGCCCAGCCCTACCAGCGTGTAAGAGAATGCCATCCAACCGAACATTATATCCAAGAGTGAGAGAGTGACTGAACGCTTGGTTCCATGCATTTAGAGGCTCTGCAGTTTGGGAGCGTCTTCACACCCTTCTCCATCTTTATTGGTGACTGGCCTCTAAATTTCTGTCTCTCTGTCTCTTTGCTTTGTATCTGTTTGTGAGTTGACCCTGGCTGCTTCTCTCTCTGTTCTGGCGTTGGCTAACAGAATGCACCGAATGCCCAACAGCCATTCCATGTTGACGAGTGTTTGAGTACAAACTGAAGTTGGCTCTGTGGTGGCATTTTATCAGAAGGTCTCGGTGCGAGAGGAAGACCTGAGTTTTGGGCAGGAGAAGGTGATAGGGGGTGGGGAATGGGCCTAAAGGGAAGTCGTCAGAAGTTGAAGCTGTACTTCTCCTTTAAGTCCTGGTTAAACGAGGCTTGAAACTATCTACTTGTCTAAATGGACAGAAAAATACCTCACGGCTGCGTTCTCTCCAGGTGATAAAACCGCTGCTCCATCGGTGGAGCTTCAGTCCACGGTGGCTGAGCACAAGTCATGAGCAGTTCCCCCCGCGAGCTGATCACAAATCTGTGTTTTGTTTGCCATTTATGAACTTGTCTTCTTGGGGGGAGGACGTGAAGGCTGGAGAGATTCCCTGCCTCCCATTTCTCTCGCTGGTTCAGGGTAGGTAGGCCAAACATCCCAACAGAACACAGCTGTGGGGAGCGTCCTCACTGCTGGAGAAACCAAATCCTGACTCTTGACCCTTCAGAGAGGACGAGAAAACCACTTAAGGCACAAGGGGGTGGAGCTGCAGCTTAGAAGGTATGACGGGGGGAAAACCAGCATGTGTTAGGCAAGAAAGGGGAAATCACGTAGAGGAGGATGGGGACAAACTTAGTGACACAGGGTACTTTTTGATTTCCTGGCCTCCACTGAGCATCCCTGGGGGTCTTTTACCAATCCTTCATGAGTGCAAGTGGGAAAACGCTGTTACAGAATCTGTATCTTAAATCCCAGGCCACAGCCATCAGCTCCACTCTTGGAGCCTGTTAAAGAACTGGTGTGAGTGTGGGGAGAGGAGGGAGCAGAGGGGCCTGGTGGCTGCAGCCGTGTTGCACAGGTGGATATTTCAAGCCATGAGGTATCCTCCCCAAAACCTTCCTCCCTTTTCCCACTCCCAGAAGCCTGTTGCAGGCACAGTGGGAATGGGAAAGAAGAAAAGAAATTCAACCCCTGGAATTGTCTATGCCTTGGAAGTCAAAGGGAAGGGGTAAATGTGGGCATCACAAATGCAAGGGGCAAGTCCTTCCCGTTTTAATGTTTTCATTTTAATTACTGTGGACCTTCCCGAGGTGGTCAGTGGGGAAGGGGCAGTGTGTGTGTGAGAGGGGAGCTGTGTTAAGACATAAATGACAATGTGAAGTTTGCTCTGCAACAGTCCAGCCAGTATCTGGTGCATAACTAAAGACTATTTAACTGCGTTAGTTTTGTCTCTCTGAGTGAATTTTCTTTTTGTTGGTAGAATTTTTTCAAGTAGGTTAATCCATTGGGGGAAATCTTTCTTAATCCAGAAGGAAAGAGTATTGTGCAGGGGTGCGTAACTCCTTATGAAACTGAAGCTTTGGAGCTGTAATCTGTTCCCACTTGCCCCCACCCCAGGAGGCTCTCAGTTGGCTGGGGGCAGCAGGATGGAGGGCTGGTGCTGAGAAGGTAATTTGCTGTTAAATGACGGGGATGTGAGCAGAGATGCTGCCTGGGGATCAGGGTGGAACTTAAGTGTTGGGTCTTTGTGCTGAAGCCCAAACCTGGTGGCCCATGTAAGCAAAGACCAGTTTTTCTCTTGAACCACTTTCTTTCCAGCCTTGGAGAGAGAAGTGAGATGGAAGCTGGCCACGGCTCCTGCAGGGGATGGGCTTTGCTCAGATGTGGCTAGTCTGTTAGGAGGTGGCTTCTGCCTTCACCCTTTCTGCTGGGGCTGTGTAACAGTCGCTTCAGCTTTTGTTTCTGATGGTCTCTGCTTCCATCATCCACACTGTCTTCAGTGATAAAAATCTAATAGCAGTCAACAATTCTGCAGTACCCTCGATCTTGTTGACTTTGGCACTGACCTGGTCCCATTGTCCTGTCCTTTGGTTGGTGATCCAGGACAATCTATTGGGGTCTGACTAGTGGGAAGTCATCTGTGTTCTGTGAAGGTCTCTTCAGGTCTCCCCAGATAAGTAGCCTTCAAACAGGTCTGGTTGGAGCTGGGAGAAGTAAGGGATAACCCCAAATCATTAAGATGAGGTTGAGAAGAACACACAGGGGCGCAGGGTTTTATGCTGGTATTTAGACTGAATGCATATAAAAAAGAGATATAAAAGGTAGGCCTGTCCAGAGGACTGCTCTGAGAAAGAACAGTTACTGCAGAAAGGTACCAGATGTAAATGTTTTAATCCATATATGTGGGACAAGAAAGGATGGTGATCCATCAGATCAGGCTGGTTTTAACTGTTCAGAGGGGTTACACTTTCAGTGGCAACCAGTCTAAGCTTGAACATGGCAAGATCTTAATCTGGTTTTAATGAGTTTTGTCACATCAGCATCCAGAGATTCACACTTGCTGGGAATCAGTCCTTAAGCCCTGATAGGGGCTGTGTCTGTGAACATCCCCAGTGCACCCAGATACTTATGGATAGAGTGACTTTCATACACTGTACAGGGAGATAAGGAAAAACAGGCTTGTGAAGCTCATTGGCTTCTCTACTATGTGTCCATTGAATATGAAGTACTTTTTAATCCTCTGCTAACTCATCTGTTACTTGCTGTATTAAGACACATGGCAGTATTGGGAGCTGGTGACCAGACAGGATGATGAGATCTGTGTGCTGGTAGCTGCCACAGTCTGCGCGGGCTCAGCTGATGACTGGTAGAGTGATCTATTCAGAGCATAACCAAAGAACCTCAAGAACCTCGCTATCTGCATCCTTGTGACCCTGTGGCTTGTCTGCAGCCTGTTTGTTACTATCTGGGGTGGGCAAGGTGGGACCGTTTCCAAGCTGGAGATGTGGCCCACGAAAGCTGCCTCCTTGGGCAGGCAGTGCCTGAATGGAGAGCACCAAGTGCCCATGGTGCTGCTTCCTGTGGTTGGTATCCTCGAGAACACATGAACAGCAGTGAGATTTGCTTTTATTTTATGTGGCAGCCTCGTCTCTGGCAAGCTGCATGGACCCTTGAGTTTACATGACCCTGTCCACCCCAAAGCTCAGACTTGAGCAGGTATTAAATTGTTTTGCTGTGGTGGATTAGCTGGTGTGAAATCCTGACCCCTGTAATAAATATACAGATAATAATGTATAAAAAGCAGGAAAAAAAAAAAAAAAGAACCATTATCTTGTGAAATACACTTTTGTAAATAATATTTAATTTAAAAAAATAATATATTTGGTGCTGTTTTCTCAGAGTCCCTCCCTGAGAGCACTTTTCTGTTGTTTATAAATGATACTGTTTCCTTCTGTATTTGTTGGAAAATATGTTTAAAGGGAAACAAAAAATCCTAATACACGTTGTCCTCTGAAGTCGACCCATTTTTCCTCTGGAGGTGGCAGGAGAGGGGAGCCATTCCCGCTTCCATCTGGCAGAACTGGTCTCCAGTGCAGGCAATGGCTGGGTGAGGGCAGGAACTGATGTGTGGGTTGGGAGGCAGCTGCAGGCGCCTGGGGGATGCTCCGGTGTCTGCAGTTCTGTGCTGGAGCAGCTTCTGTCCTCTGACGGCCTGAGCCCTGGGTCACCTCGTGCTCTCACCGCAGGTGCCAGGGAGGCTCCGTCTGGGCACAGCTTGCTTGAGGAGGAGACCTGGTTTGAATGGTCTGGGCCTGACATTTTCTCTTGCACCAGTATTGGCTGGAGTGAGGTAGATACCAAGGCTTAGAAACCAGGCTTGAGCGTAAGCTGCAGCCTCTGCATTGCTGTTCCAGTTGCGTGGGGGCAGCAGGGGTGGAGGGTGGAGATGTTTAAGTAGTCATTGTTTTTAAACTAGAAGTTCAGTCTTTGGACGTGGGTCCTGGTTTTCCCTTGGATTCTTTCCTTGTTGTTGGTTTGGGGTTTGGTTTTTTGTTTTACTTTAAACCAGGCTGCTACATCCCAGACTAGAGTCAAAGTTTACCTCTGGCAGGAAAGGGGAGTTTGTTTTGTTTTCCTTTCTGTCTTTAACTTCCCTCCTTCTCCCCCTTCTTTGTTTTTAATTCATTGGGTCTCTTGTTTATCCCAAAGTGGACCAACAGCACAAGCCACTGAACCGTGTTTTGCTGAGCAAGGAGCTGGTTTCAGTGCTGAGTGACTCTTGTTGCACGCTCCTCAGTTCTCTGGGTTTGGTGCACATGATTTCAGAAGACACAGGAAAAAAGAAAGCAACGAAATCTGTTGTTCTTGTGATGATCAAGCAAGAACCTTCTCTGCCTGCGGGTTTCTAACTGGTGTGTGAGTGCTAATCATGCATTTCACTGCACCTCCTTCTTTTGGGAGGAGCATCATGTTTCATGTGAACCAGTTCTGGGATGAAGAGATGACACCCAAAACCCGGCTGGGTAAAGAGGTTGGTGAGATCCAGAGCTCAGCTCAGTGGCAAGCAGCTCTTCTCATCGGGTGAGAGGCTCAGAAATGAAGTGTTCAGAAAGAACTGTTTTAGCTGGAGGTTTTGCAGGATCCTGTTCAAAAAGAGGGGAAACAAAATCATCTCGATTTCAGAAACAAGAAACCAATATATTTAAACGCAAGCAGAATGGCATTGTGTAAGGTACAACCACAAAAAAGCTATTCTCATAGTTACGAACTGTGTGTATCCTTTGGTTTGTTTTTCATAAGGAAATGGGAATGCTTTCCCCACTGACAAAGCTAAAGGACAATATTTCCAATACCAGCCTGTCTATGGATGCTCTTGTGTTTACAAATTGTGTACAATTTTATTTCTTTGATCTTCATTTTTTTGGTTGGTTTTGGTTTTTTTTGCATATTCTTTCAGGTCATTTGCTTCAGTAATAAATGCAACCGTTTGTTTTCAAAGAGTTGGGTTCCACCTTTTCATGTGTTTGTACCTTGTACATAGTTCTTCAGTATTAGAGGGAGGCTATTGTTTGTCATATTTACAATATGTGGTGGTGCTCATTTGAGGAAATAAAATTTTCAAGTACTAAACATGCTGCTCCATGTTTCTGTTGATCCCCTGTGCTGGGTGCACATGTGGCCTCTAGCCTTAAAGGAGTCAGTTTATCCTCTTCTCCAACGCCTGCCAGTCCAGAGCGGTGACCTGGCACAATCACTGCAGCACCTGGGGACTGTAGTCATGGGCAAGGATCCCGTTGAGCTGAGCAAAGAGATGATGTGGAGCCCGTGAAGTCTAGGATTTAGCACACGAGGAACCCACAAATGGAGCAGGAGATGTTAAACTGCTTCCCATGGATGAGGGGTTTTGTCAGCACTGTTGTACATGGCAGCACCCACTACAGTAGAATGGATCAAGTCTCCCCTGGGAGGGTGCTGAGGCGCTGGCACGGGGTGCACAGAGAAGCTGTGGCTGCCCCATCCCTGGCAGTGCTCAAGGCCAGGTTGGACACAGGGGCTTGGAGCAAGCTGCTCCAGTGGAAGGGGTCCCTGCCTGTGGCAGGGGTTGGAGCTGGAGGAGCTTTAAGGTCCCTTCCAACCCAAACCCGTCTGGGGTTCTCGTATTCTATGAAGAAATTCCCTATGGCCAGAAAACTCCCCTGGGTTTGGAAGTTTTGCTTGTTGGTAAAACTCACTGCGTAGCACCCTGTCTTGTTAAGGCATATGGCAGGAGATGCCTGTTATGGGTGAACCAAAGCTTTGGTAAAGCTGTCTGGCACGTTCGGGTGTTTGCAAGTCAAGCATCCACTGCAAGAGTTCAGCAAACAGGATTTTCCTGGTTGGATCCACGCTAGTCCTGAAGCAATGAAAATCTGTGTGGGAAGCAGAGCTTGTGCTTTGGAAGGAAGGAGGGCACACACCGGGGGTGACCCTTCAACACTAAAATACAGAGCAGTTCCGCTGAATAATGAAGGGAGCTTGTCCACCTCGGGTACAGGCTGTGACATCTCTACCCATCGCTTCTGCTGGCTGCAGCTGCAGCCTGCCACTGCTCACCTCATCTGGCAGCATTCACTTAGACACCAGAATCCCTGCTCTGCTCCCAGGTGAATGGGGAACAGCTTTTCAGGGTCACTGTGCCTGCAGCTCAAAAATCCATTTTCCAGATGGAAGCAGTGTTTTATTGGAGGTGGTTTGGGCTGAGCTGATGCAATCCCTCTTCATCCTAGTGCTGAAGACGGCTGGGACCTGTCCCCATGCCCTGTGCCAGTGCCTGGCCATGCCCTGTGCTGCCGCAGGCTGGCTGAGCGCCCTTAATTCCCCACGTGTCTGCAAAACCAACTCACCCCTCTCTATGGAGGACCTGGTGGTGCCAGCCGTGAGGTGCCCTGAACCCAGAGTGCAGCTCAGGTTGCAGCAGGAAAACCTGCACCTGAAGGGCTGAGGGGAGCCGGAGCAGAGCCTCTGTGGGAGGCCAGTGAGGAGCCAAGGAGGATCTGACTGTGAACCCCTGTTCATAGCGAGGGCAAACAGGGTCAGCTGCTGGGGCAGTCAATAGCGTTGGCTGCTTGACATGGGCTCAAGGTAACCTGAGTTCTTGGTTTCGCCAAAACCTGCATTTGCTGCCGTTGGCACTGGATGTGTGACCTGGGGGCTGCTGGTGGCATCCCTAAGGGATGGGAGGAGGATGGGAGGAAGGCCTCAGGGCTGGTGCGGGCAGCTCCTCACCACTGGGGCGTCGCTGGGCTTGTTCCTACAAACCCCTGGAGCTGCTGCACATGAGCAGCTGCTGCTGGGCCACTGGAAAAGCCCGAAGGTTCTGACCCTTCATTTCCATCAGGGGTGGTCAAGACGAGCTCCAGCAGGACAGCAGCAAACCAAGCACCCATGCCCATGTCCTGTGTGTGCAAGGAGAGAGGTTTGGTTTCCACTGCCCGCTAGGGTGAGGCCACAGGACAGTGTGGTCCAGCCTGGGATGGTTGGAACCTCCCATCACACCCTGTGCCTCGAGACACGGCAGGAAGTGATGGGGTGGAAGCCCAGTGCAGCTGTCCTGCCCCTGGGCCACCAGTGCCACAGCCCAACACAGCAGGCATGGAGGGTTTGGGCTCTGACCCTTGCTATTGCCTCCCATCTGCTGCGTGATCTGGAGAGGAAAATGGAAACGTTTCTGTCATGTTTCCCGACCTTCCCACTGAAACCTGCTCTGGGGCAGGACGCTGCCACCCTGTGCGGTGCGGGAGCAGAAATCCCTGCTGGGATGGGGAGGGAACCAGCAGCTGCTTATTCACCAACCCAACTGAGTGCATTGGCCATGGCACCTCACCGGCACCAAGCCACCGCTGCCTCGGACGTGAGCCCTGCCGGGAAATTCCCTCCCAGGAAAAGCAGTTTTGCTCAGTACTTCCCATCCCGAGCATCCGAGTGAAAGCAGGAGGGATGACGCAGAAGGAAAAGCCTCCAGCCCCATATAAGCCCCTTGGCTCTGGATGAAAGTAAATGGATGAAAGTAGCATGGAAGTGGAAAAACGCCAAATGTACAGCATGGCCGAGGGCTGTGCTTGCAGGGAAGGCGAGGAGCAAACCCCGCTGCCAGGAGGTGTTGGTGGTACCTGGGCACTGCGGCAGCATCAGGGTCTCCCCGCTCCCGGGGTGATTCCCAGCCAGGGTTCGGATGGGTTTCACAGGGCACGGTCGCTGTTTGCCAAGCGGGGCAGTGCCCTCCCCGGCTCGCATTAGATGTGTTATTAAACTGCAATTAGAGCACAGGCAAGCCAAAGCAAGCTATTAATAGCGGGGTGCAGATAAGCTGACTCAGGAGGCAGCAGCAGTGAGCTCCGGCTGCAGCTTCGCTGCTGTGAACTTGGCCCGAGGCTCCGCAGCGGGAGAGCAAAGTGGGGAGAGATGGAAGGAGGGATGGGGGGGGACAGGGATGGACCCTGGTGCATGGAGCCCCCTCCTCGGTCCCTGAGCTGCTGCCCCACGAGGTGCCGGTGCTGCGGGAGCCACCGGGACCTTCACCCACGGCTCGAGAAGGGGCCATAGGGAGCCCTGGGGCCGAGCGTGGGGCAGGTCCCGGGGCTGCCCCCAGGTCCCACCGGTCACAATGGGGTTGTCTTTGTCAGAAGGTGACCACGGAGCTGCAAACACAGCAGCGCTGGTGCCCGTTATCCCTGGCTCACGGGCATCGCTGCGCTCCTGCTGGGCTCCTGCCCCTTCCCTTGGGACACGGGAGCTTGGGGGGGGGACGGGGACGGGGACGGGGACGCTGCTGGTTCCTTCCCTGTTGTTTCCCTCATCCCTTTTCCCCCTTTCCCGGGTGAAGCGCTCAGGGCTCAGCCCCACGGCCACAGCCGGGCTCCCGCGGCGCCTCTCCCGCTGGGCCGATGGCTCCAATCCAGCCGGGATTTTCTTGCTGACCCGGAGGGTTCGCAGCGGCGCTTTCCTGCAGGGGTGATTTTCACCGGGCTCCAGCCTCGGGTATAAACTGCGCCAAGGGCGCTCTCTGTTGCTGGCCAACAAACGGCCACGGCCACGGGCTGGGTATGGAGATGTCACCCGGGAGGCGGTGACCCCACGGGTGCAGAGAGCGGGGGTCCCCGTGCTGGGGATGGCTGAAATGACAGAGCCCTGGTGCCACGTGGAGCCCGAAGGCACCGAGCCCCCAGTGAGCCCCATGGCCGGGCAGGTTCCCTGGGCCTGGGGTTGTTGTGGGCACCAGTGAGCACCAACAGAGGCATCCATCGGTCAGATCCCCTCTGCCTGCAAGGGGGGCTTGCTGCAGGACCAGGCATCCCCCACCCGCCTTAAATGGGAGAAACACGGGGCTTTCCCAGCCTGTCCTGTTCTCTATGGCTCTTTATGGGACCAAGCACCCGGCTCAGCACCACCTGGGACGCCTCCGCAGGTGTCGGGATCTCCACGGACAGGAACTTCTGAGCGGGTGAAGGGAAAGGCTGGGGGAAAAGGACCCAACAGCGGGAACACAGCCACGGTGAGGGGTTTGTGTGGGGTCTGTGTGGGGTCTTTGTGGGGTCTGTGTGGGGTTTGGGCACTTCATGGCAACAGCAGGCAGGGGGATCCCGCTCCTGCAGCTCTGCTCCTTGCAGAACCCACGCTGGTGTTTTTTGCTCCGCTTGGATGAGGATTTTCCCCTGGTTCCAAGGAGGTTTCAGGACAGGAATCCAGGGCCTCTCGGAGCCGACACCTTGGAGGATGCAGCCCCTGAGGTAGGTTTCCCGTCTCACCCTGTTGAGCAATGGGGTTTGCTTCATCCCGATGTCTTGTTCCTTTTGGAGCTCCCTGGAGATGCTGCACAAACCAGGGCGCCCTGGGGGAAGCGCCAGAGCCACAAAACAGGGGCGCAGCCAAAACCGACCCTCACAAAACATCACCGCATCCCCAGCCACGGGGCAAGGGGCCTTTGTCACCCAGCCCGCAGCTCCTCACTGATGTGGCATCAGCTGCGCCCATCACCAGGGCCTCTCCCATTCCCCAGGTGCTGCTGGTTTCTGATCTGCTTTAGCTGGGAGGCAGACTGAGAGCGTTGGTGCTGCTGAACTCCTGGCCAGGCTTTGTTGGTCCCTGGAATAGCAGGAGAGTGGGAAAGAGGCAGGTGGGAGCAGGTTTTATAGGGGAGGAAATGAACGGGCTGAAGGATGAGGCTCCGCTGTCTTTAATCTGAGGCCGGATTTCCTTGTGAGTGCAGTGTCAGAGCTGTTGGTTGAGCTCCTCTCCCTGTGCCCTGGCTGTCAGGACTGCAGGAGGAGGCTGTCACTGTGGCTGTGATAGGGGATTGGTAACGTGGGTCCTGCCTGAGGGCTTTGTGAAGGTGAATTTAACCTCTGAAGCACTGATGCTTGGTGGGCACAGGCTCCCCAGGCAGCCGGTGGCTGTGCTGCTGGCACCCCGAGCCATTAGCACAGCAATAATAATGTCCTTTACTTAATCACAGCCGTGGTGTTTGTGGATGTGATCGCCTGCACGTCCCTTCCTCATCCAGCTCATCCTGACGGGTGCTGATGGCGGCCGGCGGCTGCCGCTCTGGGTTTTCAGCTCTGCTCCCACAGAAGGGGCTGTTGTTTTCCCTCCCC